AATGAGGCCATAAAAGAGGGGAAGGCAGTCTCATGAGTGAACTTGAATCAGATTCTGACTCTGATGTATCCTGGCCAGATTGGCAGGGGTGCCAGAAGCAGCAGCTTGAATGTATTGTCATTTTATCTACCTCAAACGCTCTTTCTTTTTAAGTAAAGCTATCTTTCTATGCATTTTGCACCATCCTTTACAGACTTTACCTTCAGGCCTGTCGTCATTGCAAGACTGTTTTGTTGGTCTGTATGGTAGGGGGGGAACAATTGACTTGCACTTTGTCATGACAGATTTATGGCACAGGAAGACCACTTGAAAATATGCTTTAAAATTCTTTCAAATAGAATTTTTTGTGTGTTTGATCTGGAGGAGGCAGCACGTACCTTCCTGGGGTCCCAGAGGATGGAACCGAAAGCGGGACAGACTCCTCTGTCTGAACTTTGAAGTCGAACAAGAACAAACTTTAGTCATTGTTGAAGACCTATTCCAAACACATTTTGATGTCTAGTGTCTTATATTTAAGCACGCTGTAAAAGGTAGGGAAGAATACATGGGATTCACAAGGCTTGGAACAAGATACACATTTTTAAAGAAAAAGATAGGTATTCATTTATACTCTTTTTTACTCTGCTTTGTTAAAACTGCAAAGTTGTCTTCTATTGCTGACATTCCATGCCTTACAGTCTATGCTGCAATGATAAGTCATAACATGGATATACTAATCTCTTTAGGGATGCTAGACCACATAGAGGGAAATGAGCAAACTCTGTGTTTCCTAACTAAGAAATAAAAGCTCCATTTTACTTGTATCTACCATTGGTGACGCTGTTAATTACAGTTGCCCATCCTTGCCTTGTTTGTTAACTGTTTCAATGTCGTTTATAATTAGATGGTACACTTTTAAAGCAAAGACCGTGTCTGACAGGTTAATATCACATGCCTGTTCCATTTCATTTAAATAAAATGTGATATTATGTATGCTGTACTGTAGAAGACTGAAATATGTGAAACTTGTGATATTACATATGCTGAAACCCTAGCTATACAGAGGTCAGTATTTCAGTCTGCAGTCTAAATTTCATTTTCTTATGGATTTAAGTTTGCTTTAGAATTATTTTGCAACAGAGCAGATTTCATTTATTAAGTAGAATGAAACTAGGAGCTAAAAGAAAGTAAAAAAAAAATGCCAGTTGCCTGTGTGTTTGGACTTCCCAAGCATTTCTCTCATGGCTTCATTCTTTCTCATATTACGTAGCACATTTCTGTGAAAAGTGAATTAATCACCCACATATATAAAAATATTTCTTAACACAGACAGATGGGTATGGATTTATACATACAGGAATTTATACACGCACACACAACACACATAGGTATATAAAATATGGTCTTAGGATAAGTATATATATGTGTACAGCTATACCGAATACTTGGTGGTATGTTGTAGAACCCTTGGGTAAGTTTTTATGGATTTGATTTATTGGCTGACCAAGCTGATTCATTATTTGTATATGATTTTTTGCTGCTGGGTGGCCATCATTTACAATTCTGGACCTAGTTAACTCTGTGGGTGCCTAGAGTTTTCTGTATGAACATCTCCAACTATTGTTTAAAGAAATAAATGAAGTGGACTTGCTTGAATGAACAGTTTACTTATGAGAAGCAAAATATGGTCAGGCAAGCAGGTCATAGAAAATAGCTTTCAATACGTCTTTGTAAGTCACCATGCTATCATATATTCTCTTAACGTACATACAACAATCCATATGTGTTACAGGCAACTGAAGATCATCTGTGAACCACTGATGACAATCTTTTCTCTCATCAGTATTCAGTACTATTCCTGTATTCTCTACTTGCACAGCCCGGATAAATTTGCTGGTAGGCACAGAAGAGAACAAAATCCCAAAGAGGCGTGAAAAGTCAAAAACTGCCTTGGCATCATTTCTGTCTAAATGAAACATGATACTTACTTCCATCTTTTCAAAATTGGACTTAAAGCTTTGGCAGTTAGCAAGGCAATTCTTTTCCCATGATATGCAGTACTACCAGGCTAGTGTAATAAAACTGTTTGCGATATCTTGTTTACTAGGAAGAAAGGACTTCTTTTTGTGTTCAGTGTGGTAACAACTCTTCTGGAGGTTTGAGATGAAATGTTACCCTGCCTGTCACTTTTTCAAACCATTATATCATTCGCTACTATAAAGTCCAGCTGCTGTATTCTGGGGCAAGGGCACAAATATGAGAAGAGCCAAAGCACTCAAAAGGCCTTGATTAACTGTTAAGTTTCCACAGACTGTGAATAATTCTAATTTGCATGATTTCAGATACTGCCTCCAAAGGTGATTTGGCTCTTTACTGCTTTAAATACTGGTTATGAACTATGGTACTAGATTATTGGATATGAACTTAGTAAGACAAAGAAATGTAGCAGTGATTATTTATGTGTTCCTACAAAAATTCACATGCATGCATTTCCTTGTGTACTTTGTTAGTTTAAGCCATTGGTCTATAGCCCATAGGTATTTCTAGCATTTCCTACTGAGAGAAAATGTGGCAAATATTGCACATATAGAACGTAAATGTGTCATACCTACAGATTTGATTTGCAATGTCTTGTTAATAAGTAGAAGGGATTGCTCAATCTTACTGAGATGGTGGGTACCTAATTGTTAAAATTGAATGGAAAACTTGGGTAGTGACCCAACAGCGCAAGGCACTTTCTTCTAGTCATCTGTGAATGCTCTAGTTACAGACATACGTAATTCCACATGCGCTTGTGGTGCATTTTATTGTAACTGTGTAATTCATCACAATTTAATGTGGCATAGCCATCATTGTAGCTAAAGTTCTAAACCCTTCTTGTGTTTTAAGGAAAACAAACAAACAAGATCAACAAAGGAAAACCCCTAGGAAAAATAAACCAAATGCATTCAGAATTCCATCTTGGAAGCACAGCTTCCTTCAGTAGGCATGTCACATCTTTGGAAGTCTGCCTCAACATCCATGAGGGAATGTTTCCTCTGCCTCTCCTTCCTTATGTAAATCTCAAATAACTTGGAAGAAAAGCAGTTTTCAATGATCTTTCAGTTGTTCAAATGTTTCTGCTTTAATGCTTCTCTCCGTCTATGCTTTGAAAAGAGTCTTGTGGTGATTCCTGGAAGAAATTCCTAGGATAGTTCTTGCTGGAGGTTACAATTTGTGCAAAATACACAGTTGTGTCATGTTGTAATGAGTTCAAACAGGATTTTCTAAAGTGCCAAAATCACAGTGGAGCACAAGTGCTACTGAATGTCAGCTCTTAAGACATGTATGAAAACCACTGCTTTCAGTTTACATGGGTTTGAAATCATCAAATGAGTTGGTAAATTCTTGTGATATGTAAATGTATTTCTTTTTTAAATCCAGTACATTCAATATTGATATACATGAAAAGTGTGTATGTATATCTGGATATATAAATACACCAAAATACATGTGAAAATCTTTCTAAAATTGTTTTTTAAAATCCTTTGCATAGATTAATTGGAAATAAATAGCTTTCTGTGATTTAGGGAGATGTAAAAAGGAATAAATACAGATAGACTTTTAGTTATATGTTACTTTCTCTTCTCATGCTTACCATTTCAGGCGGGCAGCCATCTAAAAATACACACAGATTCTTGAAAAATGTGTATTTGCAGGTCACCTTTATTTTTTCACTCTTCATGCCTCAAGTCCCCATTGAAATTTCAGCATTACTAGATTTCTGGATGATAAAGGACATATCTTTTCTGTTCTCCAACGAGTGCCAAAGGCAACAGAAATTTGTATGCAACACTATCTACGTTAGATGTGCATGTTCATTTATCTCAATAACTAACTGTCATCTTTGTGTGCGTACATCTTACAATGATAATAAGAGCCCAATGCTGCTCCAAGATGTCAGATTTTCAGGGTTAGATTTCTAGCTGCAGGCAACTTGAGCAAAATACCTCATATTGAGAACGCTCTCCTCCTTGTCACTGACCACATTAGACCCTTTCATGTAGCTTCATATGTGGCTTTTATTGTTTACTTCCACTCATGCCTTGAACTGCAGTGGTTTTCATATGTGATTGGACTTAGAAGCATATGTTCACTTGAAAATGTAATTAATGTAATTAAGTAATGTTTTTGTGTATTAAAGTAAACGTGGTACATATCAGTTGTCTACATAAATTTTGCTGCGTTTTGGTGAACTTTGAAACTTGTTCAACCATTTTGTCAATCAGATGGGAGAATAAATACTTTTAAAGGGAGATCAGATATTTTCATATGCATTTAATATATATTTTTAAATAAAATACTAAGATTTGGAATCAGAAAGGGGAAGTATGTTTTCTAAGTTTGAGGTTATTGGAATTCCACTATCTTCCAAAAACTGAATTCAGAATTAAGAGCAGAATGTTATTCATTTCCCAGGAAGGATTTAATTGCTTCTGCCCAGCTGCTTATCAGCCTTTAAAATTACTTATTTAAAGGTAAAGAACTAAAGAATAAAACATTTCCTTTGCTTCCTTTAGAAATGAAAACCAAAACAAACACGAAACACACAAATAATAGCAAGCATGATCAACGGTAGGATTGATGTGAAAATGGGATTTATGTCTAGTGCTAATTTTTCCTCTCCACCTGATTATATCAAACTGCAGTAGTACATAGGAAGGAACTGTAGTCCTTCTGGCCAACAAGCATTAAACAGGCTGTTGAGCAGCCAGTATTACATTACACAGAATGAAGAAAAGAGTAATAGAGATCCAAATCTGAGAGATGTTAAAATACTGATGTAAAACTAAGAGGCAAGCTTTTTGCATAAGAGAAGGTTAATAGTAATTTTTTTTTTCTTCACTTTTTTGTATGATTTGGCAAATCACTGATAGCTTGTTATTTTCATTATGTGTAACAAAACCTTTTTAAAGTTAATAAATATTATTAAATCATTAGTTCATATTAAAGTATTTTTTATTATCCCTGATTTGTCCTAGATCAGAGGAGGAAAGCTTATGATCACATACACAAGAAAGAATGATGCTGGCAAATATGTCTGTGTTGGAACAAATATGGTTGGAGAACGTGAAAGTGAAGTTGCAGAGCTCACTGTTTTAGGTAAGAACTCCTCCTTTAAGGCTGCGTTAATAAAAATGTCCAACTTTTGGTTTTTTTCTAGTAGGCCTTTTATTAAGTATCATTCTCATCTATTTCCTTGGGAGTGTTTATGTTGAAAATGTTTCTGTCATGGTTGTGTTCTAGCAAATGGATGGCAGTTAATGGCTTTGCAATGCACCTTGGGCTGTTTTTGCTATCGGAAGACACTTTCTTACTTAGTTCTTAAACTGAAAATCATTCCAATGTCCACTGACTGGATCAGTATTGTAAAATAGTAGCAAAACAGAAATTACCATCGCTAAGAAGTAGAGGCTTAATTTTTCCCTCTTGTTTAAGAAAATCAGAATTATTCTAAATTTCTATTCTAAATAATTATCCTTTCATTTATAGTTGTGTGTACTGAGTGTTGGAAAGATACAACAGGTGTACTTGTTCAAGTGATCCTAACGATAGTTCCTCTGAGCATCAAAAATTATGTTTTCATTTAAAATAACTGAGCTTAGCTGAAAATTGCAGGTTTTGTTGCTGTTGCAGAAAAGAAGCTGTAACTCCCAAGTGCAACCTCAGAATACCTTCAGCATGGGAGAATTGCCTCATGATCACTGTAGATGTGGCTTTGGTAGTTTTCATTCAAAATGTGTCCTGCGTTACTTTAAAGTAGGGGAAGCTTGAGGTAGCTTAATTGTTTCTGCAGAAGGAATAGATATTTTATCATCACAGGATGAGAATATCCAAGCCATGGTTCATGACACGCTGGTTTCCATCACAGTGGTGCTGCAGTAGTCCTGGCTCTTGCTGCCTTTTTTTTTTTTTTTTTTAAATTCAGGTTTAAGATCTGTCTTGTCAGTCTTTGGCACTTTTATCTTTCTTCACTGCTTTTTGGAGCTAGAACTCAGGCAACTTGAAGTCCTGTTCAGAGTTTTATTTGAAGCAGAGTTTTCCATAATAAAACGAGACAGTATGCCATCTTAAAGTTGTTGAAACTGAATATCCAGCAAGATAGCGTGTAACTTTTTAGAAGCTAAAGAAGACTTCCTATGATGCACTATGCTGTTTGTTTGTTTGCTCTTAATTTGTAGACAGCTTTGAAGCACTTTGGGAGGAAGGTTTATTGTCAAATAGAGTTTTAGAACTTCCAAGCAAAATCTAGAATTGAAAGACAGTAGTAGTTACAAGAGTAAAGTCCTGACGCTGGGTTCCTAGTTAACTGTACTAGTTAATTGCTCATCGCTAGTCTACTGCTAACCAGGGAATCATGGTATGGACTGTTAGGTAATCCAGGCTGGAAAATACTACTCTTGCTGAACACCTGTAAGAGGGATGCATTGCAGAGAAAAGTCTGTCTTTGTCTTTTTCTTCGTCTCGTTTTCCCTTCGAACATATTTCTGATTTTCAGCCTGGGAAAACTAGTGAGGTTTTCTTTTCAAAGAGGACAGTAAAGCTTTGAATGTCTTATCAGTCTGTGTCTAGAAATCTTTAATACACCTTATTCTTTTAACTCAGGCCTTAGATATGCGTGAAAAAGTATGAGAAACATGCTGACTTCATATATTAAAGTCTTTCAACATAAATCTTCTGTTTATGGGTTTTGGTTATTTAGAAGTTGAACTCTTGCTTTTAGGTCTCTGCTTTAGATCAGAGGGAGGATTGCATGCCAGCAACTGTAATATTAGAAAGTTTCAAAGTGATCCTCGCTAAGCTTTCCTTGTATTTACCAAATAATCGTGTGACAAAGATAGATACTTAAATCAGTGCTGATTTCCCTTGTCCGTTTATGCATTTGAATAAGAGTGTTATGAACGGGCAGACAAAAGCCCTCAGACTATTACTCTTCCTTTAGGAAACTGATCTAGGGAACAATGTGCCTCTTGTGGGTTTTGCCGTTGTGCAGCAGTCCTGGCCTTACCAGATCAGTCCTTTTTCTCTTGCATAATTAAGTTCAATATTCTTCCCCAAAATATTCTTACTCTGCAGTTTAATCCGGAATGTTCTTTTCTTGCATTCAGATTGCATTTTTACTGTACCTATAAGAAAGGGGCCGGGGTGGGGGGGAATGTCTATATTATTTTTTTTTGAATTCACAGCTAAATTCATGTCTGTAGGTCTCTGTTTTATTTCTCACTTATTGTATATGAACCCAGTCTAGAACTGACAGCTTAAAGATCAACTTGCTATTTCATCTAACATTATTTGCCCAGCATTGCAAGCAAAGGTAAGTTTTCTACAACACAAGTGTCCAGTTGGTCTGAATATCCTCGAGAATAAAGGAAGCTCTCTTATAGGGTTTTGTTCAGTTCACGTTTCCACTTCAGTTCCTTTTGAACCATTGAGTAAGGTTTTATAGTACTGAATCTCTAGATATTTATCTACAAAGTCACAGTGATATTCGGAACCACCTTTTTCAAACACAAATGTGAAACACTAAAAATACGGGATTGTCTCTTTATCCTCGTCTGGTGTTTTTGTACTCCTATGAGAAATTTGTGGCATATTTTGGGGTATTCACACTTCCTGATTGTGCCAATGGCTTCAAACTCTTCCAGTTCCAGGGAGATGATATTGATATCTTTAATACGTATGTGTCAAAACAAGCAACTGCCTTTTCAACTCCCTCAGAGATTTCACAGGTTTATAGGCAAAAAGGTCATCTGCCTTAGGCAAAGGAACCTGCCAAGCACTCTCCTGTTAAACCTTCCCTGTTCTTTTATGGAGATCCTGTTGTCATCTGATGCTGCCTTTCTAGATGGGAAATCCTTCCTGGAGTATCCCAGAAATTGTTAAAAACACTTTTCTTCCTTGTGTGTATGCAAACCTCGCCGCACTCCAGCCTGGTGTGGAACTGCGAAACTATGAACAGCCCAACACCATAAAGCTTTGAACCCTGTTACAGGTAGAAAAGTGTGTCCATCCCTTTCCTGGAATTTCCAGCTAGTAGCTAGGTTGCCAGAATAGCACAGCCTGTACTGAGATCCTAGGTTTTTTTCAGAAAGCCTGAGAAAAAGTATGCAGCAGTTAATCTGATTCTGGTCAGCCAGGACTTTGGTCATCCATGTCCTACAACGCAAGTCAGGCATAACAGCAATTTTTGTGACGAAAAATTATAGGGAGGACATTGTAGGTTTTTTTGGCTTGTTTTATGTGTGCTAGTGAAAGAAAATGTTGTCTTTCTGATGTAGCATTGGAAATGATTGCATTGAACACTAGCTGTTGCTGATACCTGCAAGCAACCTCATAGAGATACTGTGCTGGACCTTACTTAGCCTTTGAATTTAGAGGCACCATTGAGTCAAAACCTCCAATGAGACAATGTTTGTTTTGTGTCTTCTGTCTTTTTGAAGCAGTGCAGCAGATGAGTGGTCATTTGTCTGGGTCCTTGCAGCAGGCCTGCTTCTATCTGAGGATTGATGTGTATTTAGATTTTCTAAGTTGTGTTTTCCTTTAGCTGTGTTAGCTGTGACGATGCTACATAAGAAGTAAGGAGGAAGTCTGTGCTTGGATCCTGAGCCGCTGTTGAAAGCGTCTGCCTCCTGTGCTGAGGTTCACAGCGCTGGCCACCTGGAGGGCTACGGATCTTCTGCCTGGGGCTGGGAGTGAGAGAAGTGGTGGCAGAGGCACCTCCGTCAGATTCATCATCCTGTTCCCCTTGCCTCTAATAGCCACAGTTCAGGCAAAATCGCCATTCAGGCACAGAACTGCTGGACTAACCCCTTTTTTCCTTTCCTTTCCTTTTAGAGAGACCATCTTTTGTGAAGAGACCAAGTAATTTGGCTGTAACTGTGGATGATAGTGCGGAATTTAAGTGTGAGGCAAGAGGTGACCCAGTCCCTACAGTAAGGTGGAGGAAAGATGATGGGGAATTACCAAAAGCAAGGTGAAGTACCTGGAGTTACCTTTTTTATGACATCTAGCTTGGTATATGATGTAGCCATTCAACATTTGACAGCCAGCATTTCTTTTTCTTGAATGGAGAAGGCCTGGCTGATGTAATAAGACATTTCTAATGACTATTGAGCTCTACTCGAAGTTATAATTTATATTGAAACTTGAGAGGCTTGTTCTCAAGCTTTTGTTGTGACAACACATGATAAATTCGACAAAAAATAACTAAGTTCAGTCAGTGATATCTGATACAGATTAATTCTTCACCTGAAGACTCTTTTGTAATTACTAAAAGTTTTGGAGAATGTATAACAAATAGTAAATTAGATTACAACATCAAGAAGTATGTATTGGAATTGCAATTGATATAAAATGTAGTCTGGTAATGTGGAAAGCTGCCTTGGTTATACATGCTTTTGTCACTAAGTTTCCAATTAACTTTTTTTTTTCTGTCATTACTCTAATTTAGGCCATAAAATAGAACACCTTATTAAAAAGAAATATAATCTGTGATAGATTATTTATTTATTTATTTACTTTGAATTCCCAGTCATCAGTTAAAAACCTATTAGGGGATGGGATTGAAAGAAGAAACCTTGTAACAGTTGGCTCTGGTCATCCAAATCCAGCTTCCTGTTACTCTAGTCTATAGCTTTAATCAAAACTATCATGTTTTTAAGAGAAAAATCTACTTCCCATAAAGAGAAACACATTGACTGCATTATACAAAGAAGAGAAAAAAGGTGATGAAAGGAGAGGAAATGTAAAAGGCCACATTGTTCTTTAAAAAAAATTATTGAATGAATTGTGATTTATCTTTACTTCCAAGCAATTCTGATCTTCTTGAGAACAATATTTTCTTTTCAACCACGTTAAAAAAAAAAAATCCTTCATTCAGATGGAAGAATCGTAGGGAGAATAACTATTATTGCATTTACTTGTTAAAAGACTTCTAACAATTAAAATGTTCTGCGTTAGAGCTTTATAATTGTATGACGCCAGTGAAATTCTACTGACATTAGTAAAACTGACTCACATTGCACATGAAATCAGAATAAGGTTTTCAAATATTTAGATATATTTTGCTTTTAAAACTTTATTTTTACATTATTAATTTATAAGGATTTATACATATTTTTCTTCCTAAGGGAAATGTAGGAATAAAAACATTTGAGAACAAATCCACCATATTTTTACCCTTTACAGAAATTGTACAGAGTTCTATTATTCCTATTCATTGTTTATTACTATGTATATTTAAAGATATGAAATCCGTGATGATCATACCTTGAAAATCCTGAAAGTTATGGCAGGAGACATGGGCTCGTATACTTGTGTTGCAGAAAATATGGTTGGAAAAGCTGAAGCATCAGCAACTCTGACAGTTCAAGGTAAGAATGTTTCTTTACATAGTACTCTAACCTAGAATAAAGTTGATTTTTTTGCACGGCAACTTTATGGAGTTGCTATATGCAGACTGAGTTGAGTCTATACACAACTAGTAGAGTTGCTGTTATACAGGAACTCTGCTGTGTTGTAAAAAAAAAAAAACAAAGGCAAAAATATAAATTTGGTTTGAGTTGTTGTCTTAAGAAATTGAAGCACTTCAGATGTAAGATTTTTTTGTAACCAGTCTTTACAGTACTGGGATGGGGAACTGAATATGTTTTGAACTTCAGTGTGATCAGAATCATGTCACTTACAATCTTTGTATCTGAAACCGTAACAGAAAAAAGAAAACCAGTGTTACCAAACTACGGGGCTTTAACTTGAAAAGAAAGAGTTATAAGTTCAAGTATCTGCCAAATTTTTTCAATTAAATATAGTAAGGAAGCAGTGAATGATAAATCTCTTTGTGTATCTTTTAATACACTAACCCAGACCACTGGAATTCCTGTTGCTTTTTCATTATAAAAGCGTATCATAGCACTACTGTTTCTTTGTAAGATAAAAATTCAGTGGAACTCAGTGAACTAATATGTATAAAAATCCTTCATTGCCTTTATATACACAATCCAGATGTTCACTACTCAGATAATCCCTCTCTTCCTTTCCTGGCTAGCAGACAGGCAATGATGTCATCCTGATGCTTTTTTCTGAGCACTGATGGTCCTTCTGTCCTTTCCTCTGTTCAGTGGGAATTAGTCATTATGGAGTTCTGGGGAAGTACAGGCTTTAAAAAGTGTTTTATTTGGTAACAGGTCTCTGTTTTGACACACTTACTGTAACAGTAAAGGTCTTGTCCTTAACCTGCTCTCCTTTTTCCATCAGAAACATTTGGTGTCCCTAACATCTGTACCTGTTAGGAAAATAGGAATTCTTGTGTGAAAGCTCTCATAAAACCAAGAATTTTGATATGTCGTGTTTTGTTAGTCACCATGTTTATACATCAAAACTGATACCTTATGTTTGCAAAATAACCAGCTCTTATGCTCAGTGTTTTAGAATAAAAGATTAACACTTGAGCAGTAAGCACAGCTTATTCAAAAGAAAAAGACTGAATTACTTTTAAATGGCGATTTGTTCCGAAGATCATGACTTATATCAACTGTTAATCTTGTAAAATGTTATTATTAAGAAAATTTGCTTTATGACTGGTTGAGCAGTTACATTTCTGGAAATAAGCCGTTGGTAGCCCTAATCCTTCATAGTCCTATTCAAAATAATAAGCAAACACATTCTTGTAATCCCATTTAGGTTAACGGTGCTACTTAGATATAAAATGACATAAGTATGTAGATCTTAGAGATCTAGAGTGAGATCTTTTGAATTTTGATAATAAAATGGTTCTTTTAAGGAACATGATCATAACCTAAGTCTTGATTCAGCAAGATTCCTATTTCTTTTTAAGTACTTGAATTACACAGTAGATATTTACATTGTAACAGCTTTGCTCTGCGGATATTGTTATGGGATAATTTGTTTCCCAGTGTGAATGGATTACCTCCTGAGCCATTTGTCTGTACTAATGTCTTCGTAGAAGGGATTGATGTGAGAAACTGTAATGTGTAAGGCTAATTTGTAGCTGGTAATGCAGTAAATTATGATCAAAATCCATTTATTAGAGTATCTAGGAGACCTAGTTTTATGGGAAGGAAAAAACCAAAAAGACTCGTCTAGAAAACATGCATTTTCCATTTAGATTTTTTCACATTTTTCCTTCTTTTTTTTTTTTCCCCCCCCTCCCCTAAAGGGTCAGCTTTTTGACTATGCTCCATCTAGAGAGGTATATTTAATCTTCTTGTTTCAGTGCTAAGATGACATTGATCTGACTGTTCGTGGACACACAGCTCTCTTTTTTCAGGGGATTTTTTTTTTCATATGAGTAGTATTTTTCTGGGTAATTTAAGAAATGGAAATAAGTCTCTTCTGCACTGTTGTTAATTGTCACGTAATGTGTTGACTGTAGGGATTAATAAATGTGTGTTCTGCTATGCCAAATAGAGTTATTTCTGTTATATCTTTGTAAACACGGAGCTGTGTTATAAATCATGGCCTCAGAAGTTACATCTGCCACTGTGTAAGCTTGTTATATTCAGCAAAGGACAAAGAGGGGTTTTTGCTTGGGTTTGGGTTTGCCTGGGGTTTGGGTTTTCTTGTGGGGGCTTGTTTTGGGTTTTTTCACCCCTCAGTATCTTGGCGATAGGCTGTGGTGTTTTCATGCCAGACTATACTCCAAGAAAGAATATGAGAGTTGTTAATGGTAACCGCAGAAGATGTGTGACTGTTAGGAGGGCGGCAGTCATCGTCTGTCAAGTGTCTGTACAGTGGAACTGCTGCACTGAACGAAACGTGGCACACAGCAGAACGGGCTGTAAGCAGTGCTCCTCAGGACACTGCTCGGGCCATAGGGTTGGCGGCACTGCTAAGAAGAGGACATACCCTCTTCTATACTCGTCATTTTTCAGGCTCCAAGCACTGTGATTGACCTGTGTATGTTCTGCACTATACAAGGTTATCTAGGGTATTAAAAGGTGGAGCGTGCAACACTGGGGCTGATTGAGATACCTAGGTGTCAGGGATGTGTTGATGAAACACGGTGAATAGCTAACCCAGTGTCTCAGCAGAGGGCTGCCCTGGACCTGGCGGTATTACCACCTCCAGGTCAACTCTGACCCTGCTTAATCTAGCAGACGTTGGAGTGCATCGTGCATGCCCTGCAGTGCTCCCTGTCTCGGGAAAACTGCACAGCATTGCCTCTGAGCTAGGCAAATGGGCCCAGTCTATGTCCGTGGACTAGGAATTGTCAACTCAGATAGTTTGACTATATGTAATGGGATGCTAACTGTAGAAAATACAAGAGAGGGAAGGGAATATCAATTCCATTTTAATGTTCTTCCTGCTCATGGCACCAGCATCACAGATTCTTATTATTGGAATCCCTATTTTCCTTTATACAGACTCCTGACTGTGGGGATTATAAGTGCTTTCTACGTGAAGTACAGATGCTGTATTTTTATTGCGATTTCAGTCATATTCTTAAACCAAGTTTGGAGTTCTGTATTGACATAAATGTTTGAACCCTTCACTTAGTCTTTTGCTATTGCAGCTTACAAGCATTTTCATCCTTGAAACTGTTTGTCAAGTTATGTTATTTTCTCCTTGGAAAATTAAATAGTTAAGAAAATGTAAACCTGCTGTTGTTTGCATTTTCCTAAAATTAGAGTGTCTTAGTCCACTGTTTTCATTTTGCAGCAATATGTAGTGCATATGTAAGGCACCCAGAGACGTTGCTAAATACATGTGGAAGCATTTCATTCAGGAGATGATTAATTATTAAAGAAATACCTCAGTCAATACAAACTGCCAGGAAGCAGCCCGTAGTACAATACATTATATTTTACCAATACGTTATATTTTACCAAGTAGCTGATGTGCTCCAGAACAGGGAAACAATGACCAAAAGTGCATCCCTGGAACCAGTGGATTTCTCTCTTGCTCTGGCACTAAGCAAGTTGAAGATACTCATTATGTATGTATTTAGTATATGTGCAGGATGCTTTTTGTGTTTTCATGGAGATTTCTATTATGTGATGTGCTTAGTTTTGTGCCTTGAAGCAAGACTGTAGAAATTATATTACATATTTCATTATTCTATATATATAATTGAAGCCCATGTTCATAAGAAACACAAAATTACCAAAAATGCATACCTCGGAACTTAAGTTCCAAAAGAGAATTAGTTTTACCATTAATGCAAATAGAAGTAGGGCTTCTTCAAGAATCGGCAAATTCCACATTGAATCATAAAAATGCTTATAAGTAAATCTAACAGCCAAAGGTTTTACGTATTTTCCCCTACTTCCATTTGCTTCGCTCCCATTTGCAGTACTTAATTAGGCTTTTTTAACATCCACTTTTATAATACGTTTATAATTTATGCTGAAACGAACTTTGCTCTCTGATACAAGCAGAAATTACGGCTCCGGTGGAAGTCCTGCTATGCAGTTGGCCAAGAACCATTATAGCAATGACAGCGTAGTTGCTATTTAGCAGGAGTTAAGAGAGAAACAGGTCAAGTAGGTCAGTTGACTTGAGGACTTCACAAAAATAATACCAACACTGTGGCTGTTGGTGACGGTCGGTCGGTCACCAGCAGACTGGTAGTGAACAGCAATCCTCAAACCTTGAGTTCTTCTTAACTCTCTTCTTCCTTCAAGCAGTGTCTCTGGAGGAGCTCACAATACTTGTTACAGTGCCCTGCCTAGTATGCACCTAAATGTGCAGCAGCAGTGACTGAACTGTAAAATGTAAATTTTGCCATTCAAAGGCACTAAACACATTCAGTGTTATCAGTTTGGCAGGAAAAAAGAAGAATTCCTATGGAAATTACGCTGGCCAATTCATATTTTACAGTGGTGATCAAGGTTTTTTAGCTTATGATGTCATTAATTTCAGGGTTAACAGAGCTTGTCTGCAAGGTGGATAGTGAGCAGAACTTTTGATAAGTGATTTCTGGCTGTGGTTTTGCTGTACTAGTCAACTGACAAAGAATTTTAATCTGAAAAGGGGGCACGTGCTTCAGGTCTGGAATTTCCTCCTCCTTCTACCCCCTCTTTTTACAAAGTAGCTTCAAGGCACACTGTAAAAGACATCTATTTGATAAGGCTTCTGGGTAGGGCTGAGAATACCACCCGGAATGAAAAGGAATAGGATTTGCTCTTTTATCTGTCAGATACCATATAAATGTTTCCACTGCATCAGGCTGCTGGTACAGATTATAAGTTGGCTGTAAATGTAATTGCTTTATAGGCATCTGAGTTAGCTATGTTAAAATAACAAAGACAAAATTCAGATTTTTATGGGATTACAAAAATGCTGTTGAGGTATATGGTGGTTATTATATGTTGCAGTGAATGCCTCACAGTATCATGGGTGAATTTAACCACTT